GCCTTCCTAGCTGGCTCCCACCCCTTGGTGCAGTGATCCTAGGCTGGGCCCTGCTGAGTCTTTCCTCTAGCAGACTTGCTCTCCACCTTCCAGCCATCCTCGCTGGCTGCTGCTCCCAGCTGGCTTGAACCCTTCCTGCCTGGGTAGCTGGGAGAGTCTCTGAGCAGCTCATGCTGCTCTCCTGCTCCTATGAGTTCCTCCCTGCTCTCCATCTAGCAACAGCTCCAAGGGCTTCCTACTTGGAGTCTCCCCTTTGATTCTCTGCAGGCTTCTCTGTTATCTCCAACCCCAGAAGGCTTGATTCTAGCCACACAACCTGCCTGTCTTGTGGCACTGCTCATCTTTTCCACCTGGGGAGACAAGTTAAGTGGGTCACAGGTGGGGCCCTGGACCTATCTCCCCTTAAAGGGCCAGTCACCCTGTGACATCTCCCCCTCATCTAATTCAAATGAAAAAAATGGTCTGATAGTTTTCATCTCACTGAAACAACAGAACATCCTAGAACAGGAGGTTTAGAGAATGATGCAGTGCTAATTCTCTTGCTATGCGTTTTCATCTGTTTTTCTATCCTAGAGTTCTCTATCCTGCCCTTCACTGAAATGTTGCTAACTCTTGTGATTATTTTTTTAAAGCCCAGATCCAGGAGTGATGTGATTCCATGAGAATCTCAGCTTGCATTTAAAAGTAAAAGCAAGTTTCCAGCCCTCAGGGTTGCAAAGAAAAGGTTGAAAATGTGCCCTGAGTGCAGCCTAAAGGCTCAGGTAACAGGAGGCAAAGAAAAAGAATCCGAGATTAATTAGCTGTAAAAATCCTGATTTGCTAAGTCTATCTCAGGATTTTCTGGGGTCTGACTCGTGATTTTTGAATGTTGGGGGTTGGCAACACTATTTGCAGTGTTGCTGTAGCCATGTTAGTTCCAGGATATTAGAGAGGCAATATGGGTGAGCCAATATCTTTTATTGGACCAACTTCTATGGGAGAAAGAGACAAGCTTTTGAGCTTACCCACAATAGAAGAAGAGCTCTCAGCTCAAAAGCTTGTCTCTTTCACCCAAAGAAGTTGGTCCAATAACAGTTATTACCTCACCCACCTTGTCTCTCTGTAATAGTTATGCACTTCCCAGATAACATGTCTGCTGTCAAGAATTTAAAGAATGAACTGAGCTGTGGCAATCCTGAGCATTTTGATAGCACCTTCTAGCTGAAGGCCTTGAAGCCCCTTCCAAACACGGCTGGGAGAAGTATTTGCACTTGACACAAAGCCTTGAGCTGAATGGCTTAAGGAAGGACATTTTCTGTGGCTTTGCCAACAGAACACAATTAGTGTCTTGAAGCAAATTCAATGTGTATGCTACACTGTTGCTCCATCTATTATATTTCAGAGAGTGTACACCGTGAAATTCTTATTCTAACAATAAACAAAACCACCTCTTGACCCAAGTACTCCCCTTAAGTGAGCATACCAGCCACTGGCCTTTTATGAGCTCCCAGAGGGCAGCCACACACTGCGTGTGCAGAAGGACGCACCTTTGTTTGAACAGCTAGAGAAGATAAGGCTGGAAGTGCAGAACACCGTTTATTCTGATCACGTAAGACCAGAGTAACTTAAAACGGGCTTAAAACTTTCCACGATTCCATCCAGCTACAGAATCGTGTCGCCTTTATAGGGGCTGATCTGCAGGATCGGGCCCATAGAGATCAACAATGTTAAGTGACACAGCACGAAGGAGGGCCGAATACTAAGATAGGAGCAATTTCCAGAAGCTTTCTCCTGGCAGGACTTTATTCCCTCTGGCTTATACTTGTCTGCACTGTCATACACAAGCTCAGCTATTAGCTGGTAAATTAGTTCCTACTCTAGGTTCCCGCGATCATAATGAACCCATGATTGAATTGCTCTGCCCAAAGGATAGAGGCCCTACAAAGACACATGGCAAGTACGTCCAGTGATACCAGACAGCAATCTACACATAGGTAGGAGCCGTGACTGACCTGCTGCCCATAAGCAAGAGCCTTGTCATAGAGCATGAGTCCGGCAGTCAGTTTCTCCATTCGGTCTTCTTCATCCACAAGCCCAATGTCAAAGACGTAAGCGTAGCCCTGCTCTGCCAGACAGCGGGCTGCTCGGAGCCTGGGATCCCCTTGAGACTCGTCTTCTGAGCCCAGGCCCATTAAGTGGGCTAGTTTCTTGGTGCAGTCAGCCTCTTCCTGCTCGCTGTCCAGCCTGTCGTAGACGTAGGCCAGGTTGGCCCAGGTATTTAGGTTGTCGGGGTCCTCCTGGGAGATGCTCAGGAAGATCTCCTTGGCTTGCTCCATCTCCTCCAGGTGGAAGGAGAAGACCCCGAGCAGGTTCCTGACGGCGAACTGCTGGGAGCCAGACTCAAGCTCTAGCTCATACATCAGGCTCTCTCGCTTAAGCTTCATGTCCCTCCCTCTGAAATTCACAGGGGAGCAGGGCTCGAAGTTCATGTTCATCTCCAGGTGGAAGTGACCAGGAATATAGTCCATCTCATCAATGAGTGTGTCAATATCCACCTCGGCTTCCTCCAGGTTCTCCATGGGGACTTGCTGGGTATATCCCCATGCAGGGCTACTGCGGTGGTGTCTCCCAGTCCCAGCCTTTCCCTCCTCCTCTCTCACAATGTTTGCAGCTCTCTCAAACCTGCAATTCTGGTTTAGCTGATTCACATGCAGCCTGGGAGGAGTCCTGAATGGGAGAGGCACCTAGCGACGCCTGTCATTCGTCAAGGGCCTGCTTGGCCAGGACTGTCAGTGAATCTCAAGAGTCTAAAACAGAAAAGTCTGCTGGATCCATTCTTGCCTGTGGTCCTGGCAGGGCAGGGGCTGGGCTGCTCCTCGCAATGCATGCTGGAGCGATCAGTCCCATACTCCCATTTCCCTTCTTTGGTTTGTATTCCGTAGTGTGTTGACGTTCATTGTGTGTTTCGCTCCAGGCCATAAAATACCTTTGAAAATAAACAGCCTGGGCCAAATTCCGATTCCCTTACTCCAAACCCCCATCTGAACGGATCGGTAGCTGAGCCTGACCACGGACTGCACAGCGGAGCCGCTTCTGGACCAGATCCAGGCGTTGGAAGCCAGAAGCGCTCTGCTGGGGGAGTGGAGGGACTGGGCTGCAGTCACAGTCCCTCCCTGGGGGCTCTGCACAGGCTGGGTCAGCTGGGTGGTGTGAGAGCGTGGATCCGGCTCACCCTCGACCTCTCACCAGGGGGCGTGAGCATTGTGGCTGGTCCCTGCGCAGGAAGGCAGGAGTGGCAGGAGACTCTTGTACTCTTCCCACCCCTTGGTGGATCCATTCTGGGCCAGCCACAGTGTGTATTTAATGAGGATCAGCCGCACTCTACTAGCACTGCTGCTGGGTGACCCGCAGATACGCACCTCCGAGTTGGAGCCTGGAGCAACACCTGAACAGGCTACAAACCAGTGTTAAGAAATAGCAATTTGGTCCCAGTAATGACCACAGCCTGTCACGGGTGGGTGGACAAGAGCTCTGCTTTTCAGTCCTATGGGCTCTGTGGGGCTGTACAAGGATAATTAGGGGCTCTGCAACACAGATTTCCTATTTATGTAGCTTTGGCTTTCCCCTTTCTAAAAAGGCCTTGTGCAAAGGGCCCGTCTGCTCTCCGAGCCTCTGGCCCGTCCGCCGAGGGGTTCGTCTGCTCTCCGAGCCCCTGGCCCATCCGCCGAGGGGTTCGTCTGCTCTCCGAGACCCTGGCCCGTCTGCCGAGGGGTTCGTCTGCTCTCCGAGCCCCTGGCCCGTCCGCCGAGGGGTTCGTCTGCTCTCCGAGCCCCAAGCCCATCACCTGAGGGGTTCGTCTGCTCTCCGAGACCCTGGCCCGTCTGCCGAGGGGTTCGTCTGCTCTCCGAGCCCCTGGCCCGTCCGCCGAGGGGTTCGTCTGCTCTCCGAGCCCCTGGCCCATCCGCCGAGGGGTTCGTCTGCTCTCCGAGACCCTGGCCCGTCTGCCGAGGGGTTCGTCTGCTCTCCGAGCCCCCGGCCCGTCCGCCGAGGGGTTCGTCTGCTCTCCGAGCCCCTGGCCCATCCGCCGAGGGGTTCGTCTGCTCTCCGAGACCCTGGCCCGTCTGCCGAGGGG